GAGCAGGGAGCCCGATGCGGGACTCGATCCAGGGACTCCAGGATCATGACCTGAGCTGAAGGCAGTCGCTTAACCAACTGAGCCACCCAGGCGCCCCACCACCTTATTTTCTAAAACAAATGGTTTCCTCTATTCTGGACCCACCTATTTTTTCCTTTTCCTGTCAGCTGTACTTGAGCTTCTCTTTCTTCTACCTTCAGAGATACACAGTGTTGGAGAGGTGACTCAGACTCCCTGTTCACAGCCCTGCCCACTTCCCAGCTGGGATTCTTCCAGTTTCCCTCTGGCTTCTTATTGGTAGGCATTTAGTTACTGTGCTGCTGTGGCCTCTGCTGACAGGCATTCACTCAGTTATCATATTGCTGTTGTCTCCTAGTAGTCATTCACTCAATCCCAGTATTTCTTAGAGTCTCTTTTTATGGGTACTCATTCCATTAAGTACTGCTGGAAACTCTGCTGACCAGTGTATATAGCCAGAGAGTCTGCTGACGTGTGTAGTCTGTAGAAATACAGAATCTGACACATGGTTCATTCCTATCTGTGAACAGTGAAGTCTTGCCTATAAAGATCATATGAGCCTTTATTTAATAATTGAATGATTATTATGTGCCAGGCCCTGTGTACATTGTTACTCCAGGAGTGGTTGGTTGGGCCTGGGGCTGGGGATTCCCATTTGGTAAACATCCTGGAGGGTAGAGAGCTCTTATGGTGACTCCCTCCCTCCTCCCCCACCTCCCCAGCTCTGCATGGTCTCTCTGAGTCTCTTCAGGACCCTACTGAACCTCAGTTGTGAGGATGTCCTGCTGCAGCTGGTTCTCAGGTACCTGTGGGGGCAGGGCTGAGGGATGGCTGATCCTGAACCCTCCAGGCCTTGTGCACTGCTGGGCGATGGGTTGTATTGGGGTTGCTCATGTGTTTCCTCTTGGAGCCTGGCTTAGTCATGTAGTTCCATTGGCTTGATGTTCTCCCAGGTCCTGTCCTTCCTGATCTATCCTGTGTCCTTTTTCTGCTGTCTTTCCCAGGTATCTTGTCCCATGTAACCATGTGATGCTGAGCCAGAAGCCAGCTGTACGTGATGTGGACCTATATGGACGGGCGGCAGACAAGTTTCTCTCCCTAATCCCACGCTGTTGTCGGCATCGTGCCCCTAGCCCACCCCATCCAGAGCATGCCCCATGGGCACGAGGTGGGCCTAGCAGAGAGGCAGGGAGAAGGGAGGACACCACGGGTATGGCCTGGGTTCTGGGGAGCCTAGCAAGAAGGTGGGACTAGGGTGGGGGGAGGCAGGATGTGGCCATGAGTGGCATTCCATCTTTGGAGAGGTTGATGAGGGTCTTGCGGGGTGGATCCTTAACTCCACCAAAGAAATATAGCTTCTGAGTAAAGCTGCTCCTCTTCTTCATTCCAGTCCTGTATTGTTTCTATTTTCCATTGTTTCTTTGGTGTTGGGGGTAGTGAGAGGGGGTGGTGGATGCTGAAAAGCTTAATTAGGAGGGTGGAGAATCAGCTGCCTGAATAGGTCGCATGTCTTTGTCGCTTCATTGCCTTCTCTATTAGTCTCCGTAGGTGTCTTATCCTTCCTCCTAGCCCTCTGTCTCTTTGATCCCTCTTATGTTTTTTCCCTCTATAGGCCCTGGAAGCCCAAGTGTTGACTCCTCTTCTGTGGTGACAGTGCCCCGGCCCTCCACACCATCTCGACTGGCCCTCTTCCTGCGACAGCAGAGTCTGGGTGGCTCGGAATCCCCAGTTCCAGCCCCTCGCTCACCAGGGCTTGCTGCATCCCCAGCCTCCAGCCCTGGCCGAAGGCCCAGCCCTGTGGAGGAGCCTGGTGAGCTGGAAGACAATTACCTGGAGTATCTGCGTGAGGCACGCCGTGGTGTGGACCGGTGTGTCCGAGCCTGCCGTACCTGGTCTGCCCCCTATGATGGCGAGCGGCCCCCTCCTGAGCCCAGTCCTGTTGGCTCCCGGACTAAGAAACGCAGCCTACTGCCTGAGGAGGACAGGGACAATGTGGGGGAAGGGGAGGAGGAAGAGCTGGGGAGTGGGGGGCTTGCTGGGGGTGCAGGGGAGGGCCCTGGCCTCCTGCCCCCTCCCCAGCTCAATGGGGTGCCTGGACCATGGCCTGAGGGGGCCAAGAAGGTTCGTCGGGTGCCTCAGGAGGGAGCTGGGGACCTGCCAGAGGGCACCTCCGAGGGCATGGCAGGACTAGAGGGCTTTGGGCAGGAGCTCCGGGAACTCGAGGTGGCATTGAGCAATGGGGGGGCTGGCTCAGGACCCCTGCTAGAGCCTCCACTACCTCTTGAGGAGGAGGAGGCCTATGAGAGCTTCACCTGTCCCCCTGAGCCCCCTGGCCCCTTCCTCAGCAGCCCTTTGCGGACTCTCAACCAGCTGCCAAGCCAGCCCTTCACTGGTAAGCTACTTAGCCTAGGCCTTCTCCTTTGTGTACTCCTTGCATGTACTCGACATGTTTGTGCTAATATCTGAGACTTCTTGGCCATGTCATTTCTGTGTACTTGCCTAGCTCCTCATCCATTTTGCTTGGGTCCATGCCAGATACATACTCTGTTGTACTTCTGTCTCTGTGTTTGTGTATACGTCTTCCATGCTTGTGCTGGTTTGAGTATTGATTTATGTCTGAGCCTTATATGTCTGTCCTATGTGCATGTTCCTCCTCTTCCCTAGTCTGGCCATTTCCTGGGATTGTGATCAGGATGTTCTGTGTTTGGTGTTTCCTGGTGAATCACAGCAATATATCTGAACAATATATATGGAGTCATACATGCTATTCTGTATGTGAGGCACCTGTAAGCCATGCCGTTCCATGCTGTTCCCATGTTTGTCTTGGGTGTTGGGTCTCCTGTCAACTTTTCTGCCCAGGATCAGCTCTTCTGGTGTTTTTCCCATACTCTGCCCTGGCCTCCTTTCTTCTCCCTGTCTTCTCAGAGAAGGACTCAATTTCAGGTTTTTGCTGTTCTCTGTCCTTGTACCTTGTTGGTTGCTATGACTACCCAGTAAGACTTTCTTCAAGTCTTACGGTTAATAGTAAGGACTGAAGCAGATAGAGTGAAATACCTCTTTGAGGGCAAATGACAAAAGTGTGGCCCCGAGCTCCCGAGCTGAGTTCTTTTGGTCTTTCCAAAGACCCTGGAGCTAGACCTGACCTGAGTGGCTGGGCTAACTCCTCTTCGGTTTTTGTTTGAGAGCCAGCTCTACCAATCCTGCTCTTACCTGGTTCTTATCCTTACTCTCCTTACTCTAGGGGGCAAAAAACCACTTCTAAGAAGCAGTGTAGTGCTTTGGACTAGACATACCTTGAATTAGTGTCTGTTCACATCACTGATGCATTTAAACAACTCACCGTGATGCTGGTGCATTGGGAGAGCTCAGCACATGGAAGCTTTTCACTAGGATTATCATCTCTTGAGTGCATGGCAGATATAAGTTGACCAAGGTATCCACCCATCTTCTGGTTATTTGCAGTCAAGTTATCATGCCTTGATCAGTCCATGTCCTAACTGGGCCTGGGATATTCTGCCATCCTTCTTGTACAACACCAAAGCTTCTGCTCTAGAGTCCTGACAGCTCCCTCTTGCAGACTACAGAAAATGGCTTTCCATTTGTTTAGGCTTTGCTCCTTCCTGCTCAATACCACTAGAAGGTGGTATGTAGGTTTTACCACATTGTTGAAGTGTCCCTTTTCTTTGTAAACTCATCTGAGCTTTTTGAATTTTCTCTTGGAAGAGAGTCTCAGGAAATGAGAGAAACAGAAGGACAAAGTTATGGGGTATCTTAGGGACCCTGTTAAACTAGGGTTGTATGGAGCTAAGGCTAGTCATGTGCATCTGGAGTGGAGAATGTTCTAGGATCTTTTTCAGAACTCGCTGCCTCTTTCCCTTCATTCTTCTCCTGTCTTAGTTCATAGTGCAGTTCTTAGGTATAATCCCTTTTCCTCACAGATCCCTGGTCAGACAGACTGTGATGGTTCTAGTAGATCATTCTGATCCCTTCTGTTTTTCCCAGCACTTTGCTTAATCCATTTTCTCTGGCTCTGAACTAAACTCTTTTACCTCCTTGGTTCTTAGTTCCTGAACAGAGCTGATTTCTTCTTTGGGCTTCCAGAGATTTCTCCCCTATCTTGAAGTTGGCCTGTCTAGTCACCTTTGTCTTTGCTACAGTTCATTCTTGCTTTCTTCTGACCTAGGTGTAGTGTTACCCTCTGTCTTGTGTGAAACCTGATTCTTCTTTTGGTCCCATTCACTTTTCTTGCTTGTTTTTTTTCTTCTGTGCCTCTTGGGTGAAGCTTTTTAAAAAACTGAGAGATGTTATGTAGCTTATAGTTATTACTGAATACGTATAATTTGCTAGATCTTGGGCTAACTGCTTTATAAGAATATCTTTTTGATCCTTTTAGTAATACTATGAGGTGGGTATATTTCATTTTGCCAAGTAGGAAACTATGCTTGGAGAATTTTGATTCATCCAGTAACTTAACTAGTAAAAGATAAACCTGGAATTTGAAACCAGGTCTTTCTGACTCCAGAGCCTATGATCTGGCTCTTCATCTGAAGTGTGTGTAAAGCTGGCATCTGGACTCCTGTGGGTCCATCTGGTGTCTGCCATTTCATCTCCAGAGTAGGTGATCACAGGATATTTAAACATACCCAGAGACTGACCTACAAGTAATTTTCATCTAGTGGTTGGGGGGGGCGTCTCTTGGTTTTGGGAAGAATGAGCACGATGTGCATTGTGTTTAGGCCTTGTATCCTTGTACCCACCCCTCCCAGGCCCCTTCATGGCTGTGCTCTTTGCCAAACTCGAGAACATGCTGCAGAACTCCGTCTATGTCAACTTCCTGCTGACGGGGCTGGTGGCCCAGCTGGCCTGTCACCCCCAGCCCCTGCTCCGCTCTTTCCTGCTCAACACCAACATGGTCTTCCAGCCCAGTGTCAAGTCCCTGCTGCAGGTGTGCGATGCATGCATGCATGGGTGCGTCCAGGCTCCGTGGTGGGCCAGGCCCGCAGCTGGAGTGGCCCTGGGGGGGCTGGGAACAGGCCCAGTGGGACTAGAAAGGACTGTCAGTCTAGAGCTACACAGAAATGTCATGAAGTTGTGCTTCATAGGTGCTGGGTTCTGTGAAGAATAAAATTGAGAGCTTTGCGGCCTCCCAGGAGGACTTCCCAGCACTGCTATCCAAAGCCAAGAAGTACCTCATTGCCCGTGGCAAGTTGGACTGGGCCGAGGGCCCTGCAGCAGGACCTGCCCCCCGCCGCTCCGATCCCCTAGGTGAGGCCTATCCCACCACTCCACCCCTCTCCCTGCCTTCCCTAGACAGCTAATCAGTCCAGGTTAATTAGCTCTTATTAAGGGTGAAGTCTTGTGCCATGAACTGAGAAGTTGCAGAAAATGGAGTCTTGATGTTTGTAGTCTGGCTCTAGTCAAAGGGTAAAGTACAGTTATGTCCACCAAGAGCCAAATTAGCAGCACCAGCAAAAGCTGTTCTAGGAGTTGAGGATAGGCAAGGGGACAGAGTAGTCTCTAGGTTGAGGTATTGTTACAGTTTGGGAAAGGACATGGTATTTGACATGGTCCTTGAGAGATAGGACTTGGGTAGGCAGAGGAGTGGGGTGGCTTTATTCTTTTGTCCAAGGGACCGCATGAACTATTTAGTTGGAGCAGAGGATTTAGAAGGTGGTGGAATAGTTGATAGTAAGCCTGGAAAGATTTGGCCAGAGCATTAGGTGCTCAGATTAGAAGTTGGGCTGGGTAGAAGTTGTGATCTTTTAGGCAGTGAGAACCCATTGGAGGTTCTTAGATATGAGAGTGGAGAGATAAGCATGTTAGTTCATGTGGACCCAGGAGAAAACAGAGTGCAACTGTGACCAGCAAGGCTTGAATTAGAATAGTGGAAACAGAAAGGAAGAATTGGATAAGGTAGAAATGGGAAGAAAGTATTGGCAGAGTTTGATGAATGGTTGTGGGGTACAAGGATGAAGGAAAAGTTAAGTATGACCATGCAGCTTTAAATCTAGATCTTCCATCAGCAAGTGTCTGAGTACTTGCCATATTTGCTCTCCATTGTCTTTGGTACAGGGGACTCAGGGAGTAGTACAAGGACTCAGAGAGTAGGTACAACATGAGACCTTTGCTTTCTAAGAGCTGACAGTCAGTCTAGAGAGTGACTAGAGAAGTATCATTAACTGAGAAAGCAAGGTCCCAAAATGTGGTGGATGTAGTGGGATCCAGTGTACCAGGACAGGATTAACTTTGGATGGGAAAGGTTTTTTTTCCCCCGCTTTGAGGCAAATGAGGGATAGGTCAAAGGAGGAAGTGATATGTATCCATGGAGTTGTGAGGTGCAGAGGGGAAGGGCAGGAATTGAAGTACTTTATTTGCTAATCAAAGTAGGAGGCAAAATAATATGCTAAGAGCAAGAGAGCAGGGGTGAGATGGAGGATCTTGAGAAATGTGGGTTGGGAATACAGTACCAGAACGGTTATTATACAGCTGCGAAAACCCAGCTGATGTTCCTTAGCATGATTTCCTCATGGTACAGCACTGTGAATGTATCTTACTTCCATGGTTCTGGTACTGTGTTCACTGTGGAGGTAAATAAGAGTCTGAGCCCTTGAGCTCACAGATTACTGTATGAGATAGAAGACCTATACACAAGCCATTACAATACAGTGTGATAAAGGTGGTGAAATGGGAAGTCAGTGGACGGCAAATCAGAGGAGGTTTCTCAGAGGGGTGGGGATAATGAGATTAGGCCAAGGATGAAAATAGTGGGGAGAGTAAAATTAAGGCAGAGAGGGCTACAGAAGCATAAAAAGAGCTTGGAAGGTTTCAGGAAGAACAGATAGGTATGGGTACAAAAGCAAGAGGAGGGTGTAAAGAATTTGGAAGAAGGGCTGGAGGGGGCATGTGAGCCTGGTTGTGAAGGGTTTTGAATGCCATATTTAGTAGATCTGTGTAGCATATTTTTGTAGCCAGTGTTCGAGATAGAGAATGGGAACTGTAGCATGATCTAGAGACTAAATCCCTAGAGTCTAGGCCCTACATATTGGGCAAAGATCCAGAACCAGTAATCTAGGAAAAAAATTAGAGGAGAGATGGCAATATTTTAAATGGTTCGTTTGAGTCTAAGCTGAGGTGAAGTTGTCTGGCCATGTGAAGTTGTCTAAGCTGATGTGAAGTAGGAGGATGGCTTTGGTGGATACAGGAGAGGGACTGGTGGTAGGCAAAGTGGTGGCGCAGGAGAACAGATTTTGGAAAGGTAGTAGAGTATGAGACAGATGGTAAAGGCCCTGAACTGTGATTGCATATATGGCCCTGTGGGTGTGGAAGGAGCAGAGCATGTGGGTCATGTATTATACACAGGCAGAGGGAAGCTGGAAGTGGTTGGCTCCAGTTCATGAGCATAATGTAAGGGCGTGTTACAGACTGAGGAGACATAGCTTAGAGATGGTAGAATAGCAATTGAAAAGGGAGGAGTATTAAGAGTCCCTCAGGGTGAGAGGGCGTGGAGAAGGGGTCTTGGTTGGGAATGAAGTGGCTGAAGTGTTGACTGACAGAAAGACTGAGGGTAATGGTTGACTGGGTGGGGAGGCTGGATAAAGGGAAGAAGGCTAGGCAGGCAGCATTTTGGTTTTCGAGTCCTAGTTGAGATGTCCCTGAACCCAGGGAGGGGGGCATCTCTCTCAGACCGAGAGAGTGTGCCTGACCCCAGCACCTTCACGATCCCCAATACCCATTTATTCCCAGTGAAGAGCCGGAGGCCGTCCTTGGGGGAGCTGCTCCTGCGGCACGCACACAGTCCAACCAGGGCCCGGCAGGCGGCACAGTTGGTTCTTCAGCCTGGGAGAGACGGTGCAGGACTTGGCCTAGGTGGGGGCTCCCCTGGGGCTTCAACTCCGGTTCTGCCCCCTCGGGGTGGGGCCCCTGAGCGCCAAGGTGAGGCTCTGCGAGTCAAGAATGCGGTCTACTGTGCAGTCATTTTCCCTGAGTTTCTCAAGGAGTTGGCTGCCATCTCCCAGGCCCATGCTGTCACCTCGCCTTTCCTGTTGGATGCTTCAGAGGAGGGATCTGGCCCTCCTGTCTCAGGCTTCGGGCCCCTCAATCCTTAACTTTCTTCCATGGACAATCAGGGCCTCAAGTGGCCTGGGCTGGGGCCGGGATGTAGGCTCCTTTTTATGTTTGGAGGCAGTGGCAAGAGGACTTTTTAATTTATTTCCGATGAATGTTTTATGGAGAACTTGTTGCAATATGTATAAAAGGGAAATCTCTATTCTGTGCTCATTCTTCTTTCCCACCCTTTTTTAAGGGGCTGTGGTCCCAGGAAGGTTGTACATAAATGGGGAGGTCAGGGGTACTTTGTCTCTCGTGAGGACATTGGTGCCAAGGTTTCAAGGTGCTTCTCATGCCCTTAAAGGGTGAGGGGGTCGTGGAGCCTAGGGAAAAAAGTAGGGACTCTCCATCAACCCCCAGAAGGAAGAAGCAGCATGGGCCAAGGATGGTTTTGGGGAGCAGCAGCTGATGTTTTATTGGGGACCAGTATCCCTATTCCAGATCTTGGGGGCCTCGCCCCCTGCATCTCTCGCTTCAGCTTCATTCGTCGCTGTCGAACTCTGAGGACAGACCCTGCAGCAGGGGCAGGGACATGGAGTGCCGGTCGGGGTCCCCGGGGCCCCCACCCTGGACTCCTGGTGGGGGGCTGCGGGGGCTGAAGAGCCAGTTCTCTGCCAGGGTTGGGGATAGTCACAGCTTGACTCATGCCCTGATCTTTCTGCCTCCCTGGTCCCTCCCTGGCCCTCTGTGCTATGCCCACCCCCTCACCAGGACCATGCTTCCCCCTCATTACCCCTGGCTCCCTCACTCCATCCCCCTCACTGGGATCCAGTGTGGAGTAAGGGGTGCCCCACACATTCCTGGGCACACACTCCTATATTCCCCATGCCCTCTCCCCTCTACCCAATCTCATCCCTCTCAGCTTCATATCCCCTAGCAGTACCTGACAACATCTGGGGCCCTCTGCGGAAGGGGTTTCGGCCCCTGTAGGAGAATCTGGTGGGTCTGCCCTCTGGCCCTTCTTGAGGAGGTGGTGTAGGTGGGGCTGGGACAGGCGGGGGTACATCAGCAGCTTCAGTGGTATCGGCAGCGACTGATGTGGGGGCCAGAGGTGGCATGATGCCGAGGTTGGGTCTGACCCAGTTCGCACCATGGGGCAGTGGATCTCTGGTCAGAGGCTTCTGTGGTCCCAGCACTCCTTTGGGGTGCAGTGAAAACTTGAGGCAGGAGAAGGCAACAGGCAGTGGCCGTTGTAACCGGAGCAGCTGGGGCTCACGGGCTGTAGGCAACAGCCCCAGCTGCAGCCAGGAACAGGAGAAGACCTGGTAGATGACATAGATGCTGTGGGTGCTCCGGAGCCAGGGAAGGTTTTGCTGTAGGCTTACCTGCCCTGGCGGCAGCAGCAGGAAGGCCACCTTCTTGCGCAGGCCACCCATGTGCAGGCGGATCCGGCAGGGCTGCCCATCCAACAGTCGCATTTCTTCATAGGCTATCTCTGCTCGGCCGTTTGGTGAGTATTCCTGAGTGCAGTGGGCAAAGGCACCCTCAGACCCTGCCTGCTCCAGGAGGTTTGGTAGTCGCCCCACTGGTTGTAGTGCCCGCCGACCCTGCCGACCTGGTAGAGCCAGGCGGGTGTGGGCTGGGCGGGACTGCTTCACTAGCACACCCAGTAGGTCATAGCACGCTGCATCCGACAGGAAAGGTACCGCCACTACATTGGGCCCAAAGCGCTCTTCGATAACCTGCAGATGGCCAGTTTACAGGTCAGGGACTGAGTTAGGGTCAGGAGTTACCTGGTAGCCTATTCTAGATTGACCCTCCCATTGTTCACTGTGCAATTACATCTCCACAACGTGCTCAGGCTGTTATGCTTCCTGCTTGTTTTATAGTTCTGTCCTGTAGCAAAACCTTGAATGTCTACTATGTGTCAGACCCTGCTGGATACTGGGAGTACATAAAAGCATGAAGCTTTGACCATGCCTTGTTATAGCTCAGTCTAATGGAGGAGACGAAGATGTAGACAGTAGTAGTCAGCTAAGTAATAATAGTAAGGTTAAATCACCAGAAGTGATTTAGTAGCCTTTGTCTTTGATAGAAGAGGATCAGAAGATGTCTAATTTCTAGGTGGTAATACTTGAGTTTTGAAGGAATTAGTTAGGTAGGAGGATGGTCAGTTCAGGGAGAGGATACAGCCAGTTAAAAAACCTGAACTTATAAACTAAGAAGGGCACATTCCGGAACACATAATTTCATAGTACTTAAACATAGGGTCTGAAGAGCGACAGGCACACAGGAACTAGACGATGAAAGATCTAAAGTGTGCTGACAGGAATTTAATCCTGAGGGCAATGGAAAGCCATTTGAAGGGCTCTGGGTGAGAGGGACGGGATCAGAAAGGTGCTTTAGAAAGTTAATTTTGAATAGCAAGACAAAATGAGAAAAAGATTGGGTAAGAGTATTGTATAACTGCAAGCAAAACATGGTGAGGCCTTCAACTAAAATAATGGGGGAAGATCGTTAGGTTATAGAATTAGTAGAACTTGGTCAGTTAAGGAGTATGGGAAAAGGAATCATGAAGGACTAGTCTTAGATGATTGGTTAGATGGGAGATGTCGTTCACTACAATGGGTACACAGAGATAGGTTTGGAATGACCTTTTTTCAACATCTTCTGCCCTGGCTACAGAGAGTAGTTCTTTTAGGGATTTGAGGCCTCATCTTTGTAATGCTGTCCTAATATGCTTTTAGGGATTCTAGTTCCTCTTGGTTTTGTCCTTCTTGTCTTGGCTTTTTTGGTTTGCTAATCCAGTTCTGCAAAGTTTAACTTCATGACCAACTGGGAAACCTTGTAAGATCCTCTCTAGTAATTGTACGTAGGTATGATCTCGACTCATCAAAGATATTGCTGGCCGAGACTTCTGGCTCTGTGTTCTGCTAGGGAGTACATAAAATTCCCTCTTTGGGTCCCTTTCCTGTTTGAGACCTATTCTGAAAATACGCTGTTCTACTCCCCTTCCTCAGCCCTGAATTCCCACAGGTCTGTCTCCCTACTGCTGGCATTGCCCACTTTGCTGGTCTTCTGGTAGAATTCATCAATGATCCCTTAAGGCCAATCTGTTTTTTTGCTACATAGAGCTGTTTTAGAAGTGCTGCCCCATAGCATAAGAGGAGGATAGCTAACTGATGGAGTTGTGTCTGCACTTTGTCACCTAGCCAAGGAAATAAATGGTGCTCTTTCTTAATGTGCATGGAAGAATTTCCCATCATTCCTGTGCTTTATTCAGACATGGAATACTTTCTTTCTAGTGGGGGCATCAGGCTGAAGAACAGGGCTCTGAGAAGGTCCATTTGGGTTTCCCAGGGGTGACAACAGAGCACTGGTGGATTGACATTTTTGTATAGAATGCTCTGTCCCATGACAAAAAAAGGGTAGTCACCAAGTATAACTTCAGAATCCCACCCTAGCTGCTCCTTTGGTCCCTAGGATCCTATACAAATAAGACAAATAGGAGTGTCCCCAGGAGGTATCTCTCTAATAGGATTTTGAGAAATACCTGGTTCTTATGGTCTAAGTGTCTGTTAAAAGGTGAATCCCTAGTTTAGCTGGAGGCTTTTTCCCAGAATATAGACATGAATTTGCCTTGGGGGTGGGGGAGGGTTATTAGGCCCTCTTTCTTACCCTTGAGGCTCCCAGTAGTTATCCTAAAATAGGGAAAATAAGATTTCTATGCTATGGTGACTATTCTTGGTAGAGTCATCATTTGAGACCATTACCTATCGTTCCCACTGCAGTTTTATTTCTGGGTGAAAGTTCTATGGAACATAGAGGCCTGCAAATATAGATCTCTCAGGGGCAGCCCGGGAAAATGAAGGTGGAAGACTATCTTCCTGGATGTATCTTGGCTGGTTTGAATTCTGAATGAGGAGCTCTTGAGCCACATTCTTGTTAGCTATATGTTCTACAAAGTGCTCAGTAAACTATCAGCAGTTCTGGAGAGAGGAAACCAGGTCACTCAGAGGTGTCCTGCTCCTTGAATTTGCCACATACCACAGTGATTTATTCTGAATCTCTACCTTGCCTTTTCTGACAATTTTCCATTTAAATAGGGAATTTTTCTGATGCTGAGAGATAGTGTAGCTTTCTACTAGTTGATGATCATGTTTACTTTCAGCCTAATGAAATGCTTGATCTTGTCCGGACCAACCTTTTACACTGCTGAATCCAGGTACTTTGATACTTGGGAGGGCCTTGACTCTCCTGTTTCTGCTTCCCTGGGAAGCTGACCTTCGTGGTGAGCTGCTGCTCCATTTCAAATGGGAGCCACATGAGCCACATGCTGTTACGGCTGCTTTGAGTCTGGTCGGCACTACTTTAAGATGGTGGTTTTAAACTTGGTGGGCTGCCTTCCATGAGTGCTTGAAATTCACTGTCCTTGAGGTTACATAACTGGAACCTGATCCCCAAATTCTCCAAGTTCAGAAATTGTAGCCATCTAGATTTGGTGGGATTTGTTGGGTACCTGCAACTCAGATACAGCTGACATATGCCTGCTCCTAAAAATCTACATATTTTGCTCAAAACCCAAATTTCCCATTCTGTGGAAGTTAAAGGTGGAGGAGGTATCTGTGAAGAGGTCGAAGGTCCTTTAGAAAGTTTAAAGGGCCCTTCGTGATCAGCCCCTGTACCCCTTTGACCTTCTTTTCACTACCCATTTGAACTCTGTTCTAGAGGACTATTTGCCGTTCACAAATATGCATTTTTCTTTTTCCTCTCCTGGCTTTTGCATATGCTCTACCTTTAATTAGGACACCATTCACTTACCCACCCACCCACCTGCTCATTAACTGATGTAGGTGTTTAGTAAGCACCATTTATGAGTCAGGAATTCCTTTACCCTCTACGTGAGAATAATTTCTATTTGCTTAGCTAGAATATCACTCTCCAGGAAACCTTCCTGCCCTCCTAAGCCCTACCCTGACTTAGCACTTGTTTCAGTTCTCCTCGATTCCAATTGCCTTTCTAGGAACCTCTTACCGTTTTTCCAATTGTGATGAAATTGGACACTGTATGCAAAGCACTTAGTGCAGTGTCTGGCATGTGAGCAAGCCCTGAGTAAATATTAGTTGTTACTATCTTCAGGCTTCCCACCCCTTCCTACTCATAAGTTGCTCAGATCCATCTAGGTCACACTTTGTTACTTTCTTTTTGGCCCTCTTACTTTATCCTTGATGAGGGTCCAGGTGGCATCAGCTTCATCCAGTGTTAGCAGGTGGGGGGTACCAACCAACATGGTAGGGTGTGGGAGGGGTTAGGCAGGGCAGTGGCTGCTGCAGGAACCCCAAGTTGCCCAGGGAGGTGAGGCCCCCAGGCAAGCCTGCTACAGCATGAGGTCATAGAGGTCCTGTAGATAATGGGGCCTTGGGTGGGGAGAGGGCAGTTACTTTACTAGCTTCACTATGCCCACAGCCCGAGTCCATATCCATAATCTTTTTAAGAACAGAAGTCCTTATCCATTCTCCTCCTTAGGGGAGAAGAATGCAGGTCTCTTTGGGTGCATTTGTATATGTCTGTGTGTGCTTGCAGGAGTGCATGTGTGCATGTGTATGTGTTTTTTTCTTGGTCTGAGTTCTTTAAGGAAGCAGAATCAGGCTTCCCCCTTCAGCAGCCTCCTGAAGCAATTTACTGTGTTATTTTATCAGCTGCAGATGACTTCTTTGTGAGGTTAGATAGGGGTCTTGAAGGACATGGGAGAAGTTTAAATCAGGACTTAGACTGAGAACCAAGCAGTAGTTCTCAGCCTTGGTCATATTTTGGAATTACCTGGGAGCTTTAAAAACTATAGATACCTGGATCCTACCCCCCGGGGATTCTGATTTAATTGGTTTGGAGTGTGCCTAGGCATCAGGATTTCTAAAAGCTCCTCAGGCAATTCTGATGTGCAGCCTAGCTTGAAACCCATTATTAATGAGTGGGTTACAATTGCAATGAAAACCAGGTGTGTGTGTAGGAGGGTGCCATATGAGTGGTGACAATGTGGAGGATAAGAATCTAATTGGGATAATGTTGCCTTAGTAACTGGAGAGGACTTTCAGGAAGCCAGAATTACCCAGGTAAATTTGAGGAAATTTTTTTTCATGTGCCACTCCCTGTCCTAGGCTGATCTGTGTCTACCTGGCACTCTCCTACTACAGCCCTAATCTGTGTGTGATTTACCCTTGTGTCTCTGTCCAGAGATTTCAGCCTGGTGTTTGCTGGAAAAAAGTAGTTTTTCCTTGAAGAACCACCACTCTGGAGAGCCTTTCTAGTAGCTACTCTCCCACTCTGCCTCTTACCTGTCCAAAGAGTCTTCTCTTGAGTCCCTATGGAGAGTCTCCTGCGTGCTCAGGAAGACCACTTCTGTATGGGGAGCATCCTTTCCTATCCTGGCCCAGCATGTAGGGCTGTCCCATGAAGTTGGCCATCATCTGAGCTAGCTGAAGTGGTATGAGAATAAGGCACGGGGAATGGTCCTACATGATGTAAGTGGCCTCAGGGGAGGGTAGGCCTCTGTAGACAGAACTATAACTGTGTGGGTGCTAGGTGTTTACGCAAAGATTTGACAGTGGGCATGGGAGGAGCTCCTGTGCTCCAGGAGAGGAATTGATATTAAATATTTGTTGAGGTTGTGTATGTTAGGGGCTGTGCCAAACGCTTTGAATCCATTATCCTGGTTATTCCTTTTAGTAACCTCTTGAAGTATTTCCTCATTTTACAAGTGAATTAACAGTAGATTAGTGCAAGGAGTACAGTGAGTTAATGGAGGATCTGGGATTCAAATCCATGTCGGCCTGATTCCAGCTTTTAAGTTAAAATTTGAATGGTAGTTCTTTTTGGTGAAGGAAGAAATTGCTGTATCCCTTCTGTTCTCCTGAGTGTATGGTGGGAGGGCGCCTGCTCAGTGGATATGCAAAGTCGTGTAGTGAAAAGGAAGTGGGCAGGATGAGAGAAATGCTGCAATAGGCCAAACCAGAAACCCCAAGCATTCTTGTCAGGGCAGGCAAAACCAAATTTCTTCCTCTAGTGCCCTCCTAGCCCTACACCAGGAGAGGTCATCTGGTGTAGTATAGTTGGCATTTCTGTTCCCTCCAGAAAGGAATCCTGAGAGGTAAATAGCAGTGGGGGAGAGAGACATACACCAGGACAAGGGACACAGATGTGGGGCAAAACAGACAGTGCAAGGAGGCAGAGATGCAGAGGTACAGAGACGAGAGTTACTGATAAACACAGGCAGAGAATGATGTACATCCATATCCTAAGGGGATTCCAGAATGAGAAGGGGGTGAATAGGGGAGGGACAGGGATGATGGGCTATCGGTGAAATGTGAGGAGGATCTCTTTCAGATTTTCATAGAGGGGCTAAGGGGGAAATTGGGTATAGATGAACTCCTCAGTCAGAAGCCCATATCTTCATCTCTTCTGCTGCTGATGATTCTTTAAGCTCCCTGCATTCCACACTGCCCTAAATGAGACTGTCTTTCCCTTTGGCTCATAGAGTCAGATTGAAAGTTGCTGAAGGGAAACAAATGACAAATGAGTTCTGGATGGAGTTGAGCCTAAAGGCTGGGCTGTTTGGGCCACAGTCTGCTCATGGGGTTGCCTCCAGTGTGGCACATTCTGGGGTTTCCCTGGACACAAATGATCTGCAACATATCTGAGTGGTGACTGGACTGGAGAGCATGAGAGGAACAAACAGGCAGGGGCTGGTTATTTAGGGAACATGGGGTTCTCTGCAAAAACCTCCAGAGTAGTATAGAATAGTGTTGATAGCAGAGCTTTTGGAGGGATACAGAGCCCTGACCAGTCTCTTCACTTCTCTCAGGCGACAGGGATAACTGTACAAGTCCCTCATCCCTTATTTGAAACCTTTAGGGATAGATGTGTTTTGGACTTCAGATTTTTCCAGATTTTAGAAAGGGAATATAGTGCCTTTATCATATATAAAGGAATACCCCAGTGAGGTTTAGGGCAGTGCCCTATAATCAAACACATCAATATTTCTGAAGCTAAATGTATGAATATTCACACCAAGTAAGATAAATAAATACTATAAATACCATCCTGACGTTTCAGGTCAGGTTTTGGACCAAAGTTATAAAAAAAACTATTGTTTCTTCAGAGATTTTTTTTTAGTTTGGAATTGTGGATAAGGGATTATTCTCAGGTTGTTGTGAGGAGTAAGGGAGTGCTCGTAGTCTTCTAAGCATATCACATGGTAGGTGTGTATCTCAATCCAAAACAAAATATTAATGTCCAAGGGGGTGGATTTTTGGCTTGAAGAAAGAAGGTTCTTGCAATGAACAATGCACAACTTTGGAATCAGCTGCCTTGAGGAGCTGTGCACAACCAGGGAATGAAGGTGCCTTAGACAAGAGGTTTCCTGTGGTGGGAAGGTGACAGAATTCATTGCTTATCAACATTGACTGCCTAGGATTTCCCTTTTCATGTACCAGAGGGGAAAGGCAAAAAATGTGTGTGTGTGTATGTGTGACACAGGACGTCACATATACATTTCTTTATAATAATGTTGTAATAAATATCTTACTGCATACATCTTTGTTTACATCTCTAATTATTTTGTCAGGATAGATTTATTGAAGAGGAATCCCTGAGAGAAGGATATGGACGTCTTAAAGACTCATGACCAATTAGGATTAGGATTTTGTCACAATTATCCACAAAATCATTGCCTGAGGAATTTTTTAACTCAGAACCTCATGAAAAAGATTAGTCTTGAGAATGACTAAGCCCACACTCGAGGACAACTGTAGATCTCAAAGTGACAACACCTCTGAAAATCATGTAAAGTTTCTGCACTGTCTCTTCAGCTCCCCGTTAATGAGGACCTGGTAAGACCCCATGTGGCCCTGGAGAGGATATCACCTGCTTTTTCAGATCTGCAGCCTCCTCTTCTGTGTGGTATCCCATGGTGTTTGGTCCAGCTATCTGTGCTGAGTGGTCAGCACTGCACTTGCCTTTAGGTCTTCATGGCTGACTGCAGTACCTGTGGTTATGATAGTTTTCCCAGAGAGCTTGGGTCTGCCTGTGCAGCCTGCAGCTTTCTCCGACCTTATAATGGTGAATCCCTGGGTTTTGCCTGAGATTATATTCATGCTCGGCTCCATGCTGGTGTGAAAGATCTTTTGCGCAATGTCTCTTCCAGCGTAGAGTCTTAGCTGAAAGTCAATCCCCTGTTGGGCAACACCATGACACTTATTGTGTAATATCTCTATTTTCTGTTAGCCACAATGGAGCAAAATATTCCTATTTAATCATATTGCACCAACATCATGTGCTTCTAGTGATGTTGACCAGGACAAATGTGGGTGCTGATGTGGATTTTATTTGGGAATTCAGCGTTCTTGGCTGAGGATGCAGAGAAGAGCAAACTGGTAAGAGACCACAGTGACTGGACCTCAGGCAAGCAGGTGAAGTGGTTATGATTTCCTGGGATATCAAAATTTCTTTCAGTTGGACCTCTGACCCCTATGGCTGTAGGCCCAGGAAGAGAAGTTCTAGCAATTAATTCTTGAGATATTGACAGGAGAGTGGGGGTAGGGGAAATAGTAATTACACATGAGACCAAGAGGATTCTCTGGACTGGGAATGGCAAAGGTCAGTGTGCTGGCCAAATTTGGGACCCCAGTCTGGGCACATTATCCAGAATAAGCCTGTGACTCTTTCCTTAAGGACAGGCTGAAAATAGAATCTGGCTGTAGAAACGGAGAGGGCTGTGATCCCAGACAAGTACACAAACACTTGCCTCCTGAGGCAGCGTCACTCTTCCCAGACCCCCAGGTCTAGCATCTGTAGAGGAGCTTTTGTGTGGCACCATGGGGAGACTTAGGTTAAAATGATGGAGGAGGGGAGGAGAGTTTTCTTTAAGTTAAATCTTGTGTGCTATGAACCATGGCAATTCCTGATCTTATTTTCCTGCATGGTAACGTGTAGCCCCCTGCCTTCTGCCTCCCGAGCAAGATACGTGGCTAGGCCAAAGCCCGCAGATGCTGGTGATAATGTAGAGACTTCACAGCAAATATTTGTTGAGTGGTTATCACAGTCATATGTTTACAGTAGGTAAAGATGATATAATCCACACCTCCAGGCCCTAGACTCTTCTGTATGTCCCCTCACCTCCACCAGCAGGCTCCATTGTTTTCTGCCCATTAGACCTGGCTTTTTCTGACTTGAAGGTTTCCAGGAGCCGGTCCCTGATTTGCTTGGTGCGGACCCCATAGATGAGTGGGTTGAGGGCAGGGGGCAGCAGCAAGTAGATGTTAGAGAGAAGAATGTGCACAGGCTTTGGGACGGTGTGACGACCAAAGCGGTGTGTGAGGTAGGAGAAGAGACCAGGTACATAGAAGGCCAAGGTGACACAGATGTGAGAACTACATGTGCCAAAGGCCTTGGCCCGGGCCTCCCGGGTAGGCAGCCGCAGTACGGCGTGGGCAATGAGCCCGTAAGAGGCAGTGATGCCCAGGAGATCTATACCTGACCCGGCCAGTGAAAGTGCCAGCCCATACAAATGGTTGGCCCGCGAGGTGCCCACCACCAGCTCTACCACTGCCATGTGTGCACAGTAGGCATGACCGATGGTCTTGGCTTGGAAGTGCTCCAATCGCGCCACCAGCAGAGGGAAAGGCACAACGAGAGCCACGGCTTTCAGTGCCAGTGCCAGCGCTGCAGAGCCTACACGGGCTTTGGTGACCAGGAGAGGGTAATGCAGGGGACGCCCCACCGCCACCGCACGGTCCCAGATTCCACAGCGGTCAGTGCATGCACGAAGAACATCTGGGCCAGGCAGGCAGCGTGTGGCACAGGCCGGGGCCCGAGCCACAGCACAGCAAGCAACCCCGGGGCTACGGATGTAGCTAAGCCCAGGTCTGTGGCTGCCAGTGTGGCCAGGAGTAGAAACATGGGCTGCTGCAGTGTGGAATCTATCTGCACCAATGCCAGTAGTGTTCCCTTGCCCAGCAGGGCCGGCAGATCCATGGGCCCGAAGACCAGTGTCAGCCAGGCCTGGGTACCCCTAGCCCTGGAATGCCAGTCAGTATGAAGAAGGTTGGGCGTGGGAAGGTGCAGTTGGGATGTGGACCTTCTGCCGTCCTGTGGGGGGCGAAGCTCTAAGGCTCATGGGGGCATGACTTCTGATAGGGGAGGGAGGGGGAGAGATTTTGGAGGGTGTCACAGTGGCACAGGCCCATCCATGGGGTATGTGTAGGGGTAGTGCAGGGTTGGGGGATCACAGGGTTATAACTTTTGGTTGGGGTTTTGGATGGATAATCAAGGCCACTACCCCAGCTTGGATGGGAGAATCCTTTGTGCCTGGAAGCCCACGAGTGTTGTAGGGGGAGAAATGGGGAGACACCGGCATTGAGAGAAAGGAGGGCCTCCCTGTTGCAGTGGCTGCTATAGCTGGAGGTCACCTGAGAGTTGGGGCTGAGATGAATGTTTTTCTTCCTCAGGATCCAAAGTAGAGTCCGCCTCAGTCTCTGTAAGGTGGGGAGAAAGCCAGAGCTGGTTGGGGATCAGGCCCCAGGCTGCACTGCCCTTGACTTATATCCTTAGGTAGAGCTCCTGGCCTCAGCTTCCTCAGCTCCACACTGGGGGGTGGACACAATGATTGTAGCGTTGTCCAGCTTGAACATTCTGGGCATCAGCCCTCGGAGAAGAAGAGTAGAGAGGAAAGGAGAAACAGGAGGAGGAAGATTGGACCTGGAGTGAAGCTGGAAGCCTGCTGTGACAGGAGGAAACCTGCTGCATTTTTGGGCTGCTTACATTATTCTTAACTTGATGCTGAAGGAGTGAACTTGAACACTGGCTGGAGAGTTGAAGTTGGGAACAGAGAAAGAGATGGCAGCAAAAAAGGGAGCTTCGATGTCTCCCTTCCTTCTTCACGATCCAGAAAGGGGTCGCACTAAAGTCTTATTCCTGGGGTGCCAGAGGGAGTGGAGGTGCCGGTGGGGGAGGAAATGGCACTCAACCCAGAGTAACAGCCATCTGTGGAAGAAGCGTCTCTGATGTTGGAGGAGGCAGGGTGAGTAGAACCGATTCCACCCAGAATCTAGCTCACGGCAGAAGATTAATAAACATTGAATGGATAGTTGAACAAGGAGGAAAGCACCAGCAGAAGACTTGACTGGAGAAAGATCCTGAGCACTGTGTGTTGGCAGCTTCTCTTCACCTTGGCCGATGCCTCTGGGGCCCTTTATGAGGCTGTTCCGCCTGCTTCCCTCAGGGCCCTTACCCCTCCCACCTGTGCCGCATTAACTCTTCCCTGTGCTGCCTCCTTGCTCAGTGTGATGGCACGGTAACTCAGGAAGTAGAGATGGGGACGAGGAAAGAGACTGATTAATGGGAGTGGAGAGATCTGGGAAAGAGGAACACTTCCTCGGGGAGGTCCTTGCCGACGCCCTGAAGTCTAGAGAGAAGACCTTGCTGTATTCTTGGATAGCATCGGTCCCCCTCTATTGTAATTACTTCCCTGCTGTCTCTCTCTAGCAGTGCTTCCTATTAGCCAGCATCTCCACAGCTCAGTGCCTGGTATGTCGTTGTCTATGAATAAATACTCACTGCTTTTAATTGTGTGACAGTCCTGATGGCCAGGCAGCATTCGCTGACTAACAGCGGCTCCTACAGTTTCAGGAGCCTTCGGGACCCATGGAGATGAGAAAGGAAGCTATTCACCATCAACCACTGGGTACGATTCTGCTCCAACGACACATATCCTAAAAATCACCACACTATGCAAGATAATGTAATAAAAAATGGGGCTTGCGGGAAAGGTGGCATTAGGGTACAACATTCAAAAACTTCGTCAGTGACACATTTAAAAAAAGGATAGGACCCTAATAAAAATGGTGGCACCGCTTTACACATATTAACTGGTTAGAAAGTGCATAAATACACCAATAAACAGGACACTCTACCTTGAAAAAGACCTGGAGTTTTCCTTGTAAAAGTGTTAGCAGGTGAATAATGGAGAAGCGGTGGAAGGAGAGACTACGGTAGTCCCCCTTATCTGTGGTTTCGCTTCTGCAGTTTCAGTTGCCCGCTGCCCTCAACCACTGTCGGGGAAGCAGACGATCCTCCTTCTGACGAATCGTCAGAAGGTCAGTCCGTAGACTAACGCTACGTCACAATGCTGCATCATTCCCCTCACTTCACGTCCTCACTAGGCATTTTATCCTCTCGCATCATCACAGGAAGAAGGGTGAGTACAATGCAGTAGGATATTTTGAGAGAGGGAGACCACGTTCACATAACTTTTATTACAGCATACTGTTACCATTATTCTTATTACCAGTCACCGTGAGTCTCTTGCTATGCCTGATTTATGAATTACACTTTATCACAGGCACGTATATATAGGAAGACCCCGGTACAGGCATAGCTCATTTGATTACGCTTCACAGATAATGTGTTTTTTACAAATTGGAGATTCATGGCAACCCTGCCTCTAGCAAGCCTATCGGTGCCACTTTCCCAACAGCACTTGTTCACTTCGTGTCTGTGTCACATTTTGGTAAATCTCAAAGTATTTCAAACTTTTTCATTATTATTATATTTGTTATGTTGCTCTGTGATCAGTGATCACAACTCACTGAAAGCTCAGATGATGGTTAGCATTTTTTAGCAATAAGGTTTTCAAAGATTTATTTATGTATTTTAGAGACAGATTGAGCTGGGGAGGGATGGAGGGAGAGGGAGAGAATCTCAAGCAGATTCCCGGCTGGACGCAGAGCCTGACATGGGGGCTTGATCTCATGACCCTGAGATCATAACCTGAGTCAAAATCAAGAGTCAGATGCTTAACCGACTGAACCACCCAGGCGCCCCTAGCAACAGTTTTTAAATTAAGGTACTCACATGTTTTTTTTTTTTTTTTAAAGACCAAATGCTATTGCACACTTAATAGGCTACAGTAGTGTGTAAACATAACCTTTATATGCACTGGGAAACAAAAATTCATTTGACTTGCTTTATTGCTATATTTGCATTATTGCAGTGGTCCGGAACTGAATCAGCAGTATCTCTGAGGTATGCTTGTATATATAGGGTTTGGTACCATCCGAGGTTTCAGTCATCCACTGGGGTCTTGGAATGTATAACCGGCAGATAGCTGGGGACTACTGTAATCTGAAGTTGGGTGAAATGTTGTAACACCAGATATGGATGATGTGGTTCATAACCTAAGTGGTGATAGATGTTTCAGGTGTGTGCATGTTGGATTTTCCTTTGCTCCTGTGTTCAGCAGTTTTGAATGCAGTTGTGTGCATTCACCTAGCTCCTGGCAGAGGGAATCACACATAAGAGAACATGAAATTCACATAATACTCAGTTCCCCAATGTGTCAATTGGTTGGAACAAATTTGCTTTTCAAAACCAACTTTATAGCGATCTGATTGAATCTCTGTTGTACCTGGCCCTGTACCATATGGTGAGGATACAATGGCAATAACAAGACCCTGCTGCCCTCAAGGAGCTCACTGTCTAGTGGACACAGTGATGCAAACAGTTATTGGAAGGCTATAATTGCATTAATTCAGGTTAGTACAGATATGGTGGGAGCACAGAGAAAGGAGCCTTTCTCTCTTCCTGGGGAGTCAGGGAATTCTCTGAATTATAGTAATGGCTACATCCTATGGAGTTTCCTATGCGCAGGCACTGCTCTAAGTCCTATTCCTACCACATGCGTTTGCTGTAAGTACAATGATTTACCCCATTTTACAGATAAAGAACTAAGGCACAAACTTGTCCAAGGTCACACAGTTCGTAAATAGCAGTTAAATACTAACTGGATCTGGCCCTAGCATTCTTGCTCTTAGCCACTGCTTTAAACAGGTCTGCTGATATTTAGTACATGAATAGGGGTTTTCTAGGATATTTGGGCCAAAAGGATCTGTACCTGGGAGGAAAAGTTCAGGTTGTCCTAGGATTACTGAAGAAGGAGAGGAGCACTTGGGAGCTGGGGGGCAGTGGGAATGATTGGGAAAAAATGCCCTTGAGTGCCATTACATTCAAACTAATGGGATTTTTGGCTGACATATGCCTGTCCTGGGCACCAACTGTAAAAAAGATTGTTCATAAGATAAATCACAGATCCTTTAAGCTCAACACAATTGAAGTCATTAAGTTCCTGCAAATCTTCTGTATTCTGTGTTGCTCACTGCCTATTAATCCAGGATGTATTGGGAGATATCATTGACTTATCTCTAGAAAAGTTCCTTTGTTGGTCTCCTAGGCCCCAGTCCAACATTATAGAAGCTTTCTGAACACATTTGGGGTCACCTGGCTGGTCTTTCCCTGAGACATTGGGAGGAGTGGATCTGACATTACACCTGTGACCTTGTGGAACTGTATGTGAGAGCCTGCCCCCCAGGGGTGGGATGCCAGCCCTGTAGGGAGGCGAAGGTAGAGTGGGAGGAGGAGGGGGGCTCATTGGACCTCTCAGTTGCTTCTTGAATGGTATGGGAAATAGGGTAAGAGGGCTCTGTTTGGGAATTGACCCTGAATTTCTCACTTCTTTTTTTTTTTTTTTTAAAGATTTTATTTATTTATTTGAGACAGAGAGAATGAGAGAGAGA